TTGGGAGTGAACTACATCCACCCTGATTGAATTGGCCCTGTCAACACTGGTTCTCCACTTGCGAAGGAACTCCCTGCTCTCCATGTGTCAGTATATAATGCCTGCATCTGTAACTTTCACTCTATGCATCCGAAGAAGTGAGGTTTTTACCCTCGAAAGAGTACAGTGAAATCCAGATATATCATAGCCAAATAGATAAAGTTCATTATCCAGGAGTTTTACAAAGCTACAGCGTTTCCTGTCCACTGAAACTTAGTGCCCACTCTACTATAACCATGTCCATCTCCTTAGCCAGAGAGGGGGTGTACCAATGGACAAGTTTTGCAAAGATGCATCATGGAAATACCAAGAGATACATAACTAATGTGCTAGTGGATGCTGCAATAATTCTTTTTGAGCTTGTTCTTATGCGGTGTAGCTTCCATAATAATAAAAAAATGAGATATACATAAAGATGTGTACCACTATTTTATGGTTTTGGTATCATTTTAGCCATAGTGAAATAAAAGTATTTGTTATACAGTGATCTTAAAATTCATTTTGCTCTGCAGAATATGAGTGTGTGTTTCTTTTTTAACAGGAACTTAGTGTTAGAGTTCCCCACAGAACGGGAGGAAGTTTAAGGTTCTTACATGTTAGTTGTATGGCTGGATTGTATCATATGTAGTTGAACAAATGCATATAATCAGTAAAATACCCACTGCTAAAATACAAATGGATATTTACTAGAGTTGAGTGACGAAAAATGAATAATTTATCTGACAAACTAAGCTTCTTCTTTTGCATGTGGAATATCCACAGCCAGCTTGCAATTTCCTATATTTGTTTGTTATTCAGAGATGTTTGAGAGGATTTTTGTATGTGTGATTGTGGTTTTTAAAAATGTTTTGGTGTGATCACAAATGTAGTTATCTGCAAATATCTCATAATCTATCAGTATTGATTAGTTGGGTAGGGCAGATAAAAAATATGGTATTGTTTCTGTTCCCTAATTGGATGAGAGTTCAGGCACTTCATATATGGACAGGCATATGTGAGAAATTAACAGTCCGTTTCCACAAACACCTTGTTGAAATATTTTTGCCAGTAATAATCAGTTGCACAAATGTTTGTTGAAATTAAACATAGAAGTATTGTGAGCATGACTGAAGTGAATTTAAAATTTCAGAAATCTTTTGTTGTATTCAAGCAGCTTTAGTAGTTACAGTCAAATTTGTTTAATTAAATAGAATGTATTATAAAAAATAAGAGAGAAATTCTAACAATTAATTATTTTACCATTTATAGATATTCCATGTTACCAATTTAAAAATCTGTTCCCATAGGTCCCACTGAATATACCTGTGAAGCTGATGTGAATCCTTGTGGAGATGATGCATACTGTAATCAAACAAAATCATTCGTTTTCTGTCGGTGTAAGCCTGGATTTCAGAGGAACAGAAGGAATAGGCAGTGTGAAGGTAAAGTATATTTCCTTTGCAGCTTTTTTTAAAGCTTTGTATTGTAATTCTTCTACATCCTTTAACTAAATAAATTAAATGATTGCTTTTAGAGTCATAGAGTTTAAGGCCAGAAGGCACCACCAGATCATTTAGTCTGACTTCCTGAATATCACAGGCCACCAACACCATGCAGCACCCACACTCTAAAACCAACAACTGAAATTAGGACAAAGTCTTACAGCCCAACTAAACTATTATGTGCCAGAGACAAAGAATAGAATGGACTGAGATGTACCAGTGCCCATGGCCGCACCAATGGCAGAGAAATGATTCTGAGATATACCCAGGTAATCCTGTCAAATGGCCTGCACCCACATGCTGCAGAAGAAGGCGAAAAACCTTGAGGAAAATTCCTTCCTGACCCTACAGGTGTTGATCAGTTAGATCCTGAGCATGTGCGCAAGAACTTGCCAGCCACATATCGAGAGAGAGAATGCTCAATGCCACCTCAGAGCCTTGGCCTACACCATCCTATGTCCCATCTCCAGCTGTGGCCTTCACTGATGCTTCAGAGGAAAGAGATAAAAATAAACAAAATTCCAGAGCCCTGCAGGTGGCTGACTGAAACCCTGAAGCATAAGAAACAAACTGGAAGTGAGCCCAGGGCTGCTGAGCCCTGCCCCCTACCATCACAAACAATCAGATCATAGAATTGCACTAATAAATTTGTACAGCTAATAAAAATCATGTGTACTTATGGGATGTCATTTTACATCTGAGAGTAATTGGACTGTGAAACTAACCACACATGATATACTTATAATATGGAATACTACTGCTAGAAATTTGGTTGGTTTTATTCTGGCTCTAGTTTAGCAATGCAAACTAAGAATTAATGTCACAGGAACTGTCAGAGAATTAGTTTCATTCAGTTAGAAGGTATAGCCTTACTGACATCCTCTTGAGTTTATAGGACTCTTTTTTAAAGAGTACTGTAAAATGAACTTTTGATACTTCTGAAAAACATGATATGCTCCATTATGCTTTTTCAGGCCTTCCTTCAACAATGCTAAAGTGTGCTCTTCATTGAGGTGGCCTCTGCATATTCATTCTTGGGAGGTTGTGTCACTGAACTTTAGGAACATTTTCTGCAAGCAGAACCTTGTGTGGCTCTGCACATTCATAGCTGGGGTTATAAAAGAACCCAATCACCTCAGTGTAGAGCCAACCACCTCAGTTCTTGCCATTATGTAGCCAAATGCTGATACAGTGACTCTTTCTCTGTGACCAGAGTGATTTTTTTCCAGGAGGATTAATCCAAAATTTATTTAATTTCTGGTGTATTTTAGGTAATTTGCACCATTACATATTCAGGTTTTTATTCTGCCCTTGGGTCACAGGAGCCTTGGGACAAGGATGGTCACCCCACCAAAAACTCAAATGAGAAAAAGGGATTCAAGTGCTGCATACTTTGCCCATCCATGGTCTTGGAGGCAGACATACATAATTGCTTTTCACTCTGCACGAAGCCCATTCCCTAGATGGTTGCTTTGTTTATAAGGCCTTCATACTTCAACCTTTTAGAAAATGCAGAGTCCCCGTGCCTTCGACACAGGGCCGGCTCCAGGGTTTTTGCCGCCCCAAGCGGCGCAAAAAAAAAAAAAAAAGCCGCAATCGCGATCTGCGGTGGCAATTCGGCGGGAGGTCCTTCACTCCGAGCGGGAGTGAGGGACCGTCCGCCGAATTGCCGCTGAATAGCTGGATGTGCCACCCCTCTCTGGAGTGGCCGTCTGAAGCACCTGCTTGGCAAGCTGGTGCCTGGAGCCAGCCCTGCTTCGACACAGAGGAGGCCTTATGATTGCAGTCCCTGGATCTAATGTTGGATCAGCTGTGAAATCACAGAATAAGCCATGTTTGGCCTCAAAGTTAGGCATTTCATAGAATCACAGAAGTGTAGGACTGGAATGGACCTCAATAGATCATCTAGTCCAATCGCCTGCACTCAAGGTAGGAGTACATAATAACAAGACCGGACCCGTTCTTAAAAACCACCAATGACTGAGATACCATACCCTCCCTAGTCAATATGTTCCAGTGCTTAACTACCTTGACAGTTAGGAAGTATTTCCTAATGTCCAACGTAAACCTCCCTTGCTGCAATTCAAGCCCACTGTTTCTTGTCCTATCCTCAGAGTTTAATGAGAACAATTTTTCTCCCTCCTCCTTGTAACAACCTTTTGTGTACTTGAAAACTGTTATCATGTCCCCTCTCAGTCTTCTCTTCTCCAGATTAAACAAACCCAGCTTTTTCAGTCTTTCCTCATAGGTCATGGTTTTTAGACCTTTAATCATTTTTGTTTAATCATTTAATCATTTTTGTTGCTCTCCTCTGGACTTTCTCCATTTTGTTCACATCTTTCCTGAAATGTGTCACCCAGAACTGGATAGAATACTCTAGTTGAGGCCTAATCAGTGTGGAGTAGAGTAGAAGAATGACTTCTTATGTCTCACTGACACTCCTGCTAATACATCCCAGAATTATGTTTGCTTTTTTGGAAACAATGTTATATTGTTGACTCATATTTAGTTTGTGATCAACCATATCCCCATATTTCTTTCTGCAGTACTCCTTCTAGGCAGTCTTTTCCCATTTTATATGTGTGAAATTGATTTTTACTTCCTAAATAGAATATTTTGCATTTGTCCTTGTTGAATTTCATCCTATTTACTTCAGACCATTTCTCCAGTTTGTCCTGGTCATTTTGAATTTTAAGCCTCTCCTCCAAAGCCCTGGCCAACCCTCTGTGTTTGGTCTCATCCACAAACTTTGTAAGTGTAATCTTTATGCCATTATTTAAATTATTGATGAAGATATTGAACAGAACTGGACCCAGTACCAGTCCCTGAGGGACTCCAATAAATATGCCCATCCAGCTTGACTGTAAATCACTGATAACAACTCTCTGGGAATGGTTTTCGAACCAGTTATGCACCCGCCTCATAGTAGCGCCATCTTGATTTTATTTCCCTAGTTCGTTTATGAGAAGGTCATGTGAGACTGTATCAAAAGCCTTACTAAAGTCAAAATTCCAAATCTACTGCTTCCCCTCATCCACAAGGCTTGTTACCCTATCAAAGAAAGCGATTAGGTTGGTTTGACACAATTTGTTCTTGAAAAATCCATGCTGACTGTTACTTATCACCATATTATCTTTTAACTATTGGCAAATTGATTGCTTGATTATTTGCTCCATTATATTTTTGGGTACTGAAATTAAGCTGACTGGTCTGTAATTCCCTGAATTGTCCTTATTCCCCTTTTTATAGATTGCTACTATATTTGCCCTCTTCCAGTCCTCTGTAATCTCTCCCCTCTTCCATGAGTTTTTGAAGATAATCGCTAATGGCTCAGATATATCCTCAGTCAACTCCTTGAGTATTTTAGGATGTATTTCATCAGGCCCTGGTGACTTAAAGACATGTCACTTGTTTAAGTAATTTTTAAATTGTTCTCTCCCTATTTTAGCCTCAGATCCTGCCTCGTTTTCACGGGTGTTAACTATATTAGATATCTGATCGCTACTAGCCTTTTTGGTGAAAACTGATCATGGCCATCGTGACACCACAAAAAGTTGTTGTCAGACAGAATAGGATCTAAGGCTGTAGTATCTATGTTTTCAATGAGCACTAAGGTTACATAACTATCAAGAAGATCACTCTGAGAAGTGAGCCCTCCAGTGGGAAATTTCTGCAATGCCAAAGCCAAATTTGACTTCTGCATAATCCATCTGTACTGGGAGCTCAACAAGTAGCTATGAAATCTATTACGAAGGCATGCTGGTGTTATATCAGCATAAGAGGTGGCCTCAGCATCACAAAGATTTATTCCATTTTAACATGCCAGAACAGGGACTACCCTTAATGCCTATGAACCTGCTACCTTCTTTCTTGATCAGTGTGGACAACACCTGTCACGCAGGCCCATCACCTGGGCATCCTCTTTGACTCAGGCTTCTTTCTAGGTTCTCACATACAGGCTATAGCTATATATTGTGTTGGGTTTTTTTGCATAACATCTCTAAGATACGCCCTTTCCTATCTATAGACACAGAACTGTACCTCTCATCCAAGTTCTCAACATCTCATGTCTCGATTACCATAACAACATTCTCTCTGGCTTTAACAAATGCAAACTTACTTCACCCATATCCATTCAGAATGCTGCTGCAAGGGTCATTTTCCTATTGCATCACTTTGACCATATCACCCCTCTTTTTATATCACTCCACTGGCTCCCTCTTCTCTTTTGTATCAAACAAGAGTTGCTTATCTTCACTTTCAAGACCCTTCACAGTCAGTCTGCATTCTATCTATCATCTCTCATTTGCTGTTGAGCTGCTAGTGCTCACTTCTGATCAGCTGATGATGTTGGTCTCCATGGCCCCCTTGTTAAATTTAAAAAACCAACACCTTTGTGTTTTATCCCATGCTCCCTCTCATGTTTGGGAGGCACTCCCCATAAATATCCACAAAGCCACCTCATTATCCACATGCAAATCCTTCCTCAAAACTTTACTTTGCCGTGATGCTTATTAAAAACGTGACTATGTTTACGCTGCTGGTGTGCAGAGACCACTGCCTATCATGCTGACCAATACTGTCTCGTTGTTTACTTGTACTCCCCCATCTATTTATATCCATGAGTCATCTCTTGTCTTATACTTAGACTGTAAGACCCTCTAGGGTAGGGACTGTCTTGTTGTTCTGTGTTTCTACTGCACCTATCACAATGAGGTCTTAGTCAGAACTAGGGCTCTTAGGCACTATGGTAATAAAAATAATAAATAATAGTAATAATGATATAATCAGTGTGGGGGGTCCTCTTCAGCATCATCTCCTCTCCTCAAGTGGGTCATCAATTCCAGGATCCCATTGTAACCATGCCTTTATGTGTCACAACTGAGGAGGCCAAATTCAGGTCGAACTGCTGAAAAGTAGGGCAAACCCAACCCAAAACTGGTGGTTATTCTTTTGTAAGATATACCAAAACAGCCACAAAAGTAAACTCCTGTTTCACCACACTGGCTAGCAAGAAAACATAAAGGCAGTTTCCTCAGGCATTCCAGATCTTATATCACCACCAAAACCACTGGGTTCTTCAGAGATGAGTGGATCTTTACAACCAGTCTCATCAAATAATAGGTTCTTCTGATCCCAAAGGACCAGCCACACACCCAGGTCAATATATAACTTTGATCTTACCCAAAAATCACGCTGATGCCAATCCTTTAGTATCTAAAATCTAAAGGTTTATTTATAAAAAGAAAGAAAGAAAAATGTGAGAATTAAAGGAATCAATTACAGTAATGGCAAAGTTCTTGGTTCAGGCTTGTAGCAGTGATGGAATAAACTGCTGGCTTAAGTCAAATCTCTGGAGTACATCCACAGCTTGGATGGGTCTTTTGGTCCTTTGGTCAGAGCTTCGGTTTGTAGCAAAGTTCCTCCATAGGTAAGAAGCAGGAATAAAGACAAAATGGAGGTGTTTCCAGGGCCTTTTATAGCTTTTCCAATGTGGAGGGCACTCCATTGTTCTTACTGTGGAAAATTACAGCAACAAGATGGAGTTTGGAGTCACATGGGCAAGTCACATGTTCATGCCCATTTTCCCTCAGTCATTGGAGGAAGCCATTACCTACACTCCAGACAGCACATTTACATGACCATCTACTCAGTGTAGATGGGCGTCTCCCATGGTCCATTGTCAATCAAGTGTTTCTTGATGAGCCACTTAATTTGAACAGTTCCTCCAAGATGTGCTGGCGAGCTACCTTGTGGGCGTTACCCCAGGAGCAAACATTTGAAATCCAAGTATAGAGCCAATACTTACAACTTAAAATACAAAAATGATACATGCATACAGATAGCATAATCATTACCAGCAAATCATAACTTGTTCATAGACACCTCACTCGACAACCTTTTTACAATATTTGCTGCAAATATATAACAGTGGTTGCAACAATGGTCTGTATGGTCATATTTTAATCAGATAATGTCACACCCATCCACAACTAAGTGCTTATTAGGTACTGGAAGATAAGATCCAGAATTTTCTAACCTATGCCGCTCAGGGCTCATTGGTTATTTCAGTGAGGGACAGGAAGAATTGGTCCAAATTAGGTCATACTTTCTCATTGGAAAGGATGCCAAAAATATTTGACTCCTTGGGACCACAAGAGGGCATTTGTGTGGCTCCAACAGGCATTACTTTCCAAAAAGTCCATGAAACACGGCGGTACAAGGGGATACTGTCTATATTGAGGCAGCTCTCTAAGAATTACATGTATTATGGTAAATAACCATTTGTCTGGGTATTTAAAACCAATGAAGGCATCTAAATTTTTCTTTATCAATTCACTTAGTGAGCTAATGCCTCTATATAAAGAAAGTTCATCAGGGTACAAGACTAATGCCAACACATGCAACAAATACTCCCAGAAACTGACCTGATGAGTCATCAGAATTCATACTCCTATTACAAACTTTAATCCTTTTCCCATCAGACACACAAGTGCCAGAAAACACAGATTTATACATGTGAGTTTATACATGCCTTGATGACAGAAATGTAATATAAGCTTACTCTGCTTTAGTTTTTCTTCATCTTTCATTATTTGTTTAGAGGTAATACCTTTCTTTGGACTAAACGTACAGACAAGTCATTCAGGCATAAAAATCCCTTTCCTCTCATCTCAAAATTCCTTCATTCTATACCATCCACTTCCAAGAACAGGAATTGAGGAATGCAGAAAGGGTGAAGTTGATTCTCCCCTTCTTCCCACCTCTTCATTAACTCACTCTTCCCAGTCAATTCTGTTCTATTTGTTAAGTTCATCAGTAGATGTCGCATACAACCAGTTTGGTTTTTGTTTGTTTATTTGTTTTTATTTTATCTGTCAGGCTTCTACCAGACTAATATTGCCGCTATTGTTTCTTAGGTTGTTCAAAATGAAAGATCATTGACATGTGGAAACTTCATCCATCCCGACTAAATTAGCTTTGAAAAAAGGAGCATTTTCTCAATGAGATGCATAGAGAAATTAGTTGCATACTTGTAATTAACATACAGTTCAATACAATTTAATTTTTGTGTATGGTCCTTTATATATGTCAAAAACACTTTACAGAAATAGTACATTAATAATCGTACAGAAATAATGTTGAGATTTCCAGAAAAATGGGGGAGCAGGAAAAATGTTAATGGAGTGAAAGAGTTGAGATAAATGTGACTTTTCACAAGAATGAGGACCTCAGTCATAGCTACGGGCTAAGCGAATCAAGATAAGAAGATGGGCAAGAGATAGAGGGATTTAGATGTGTGTATAATTTGCCCGAAGGTATTGTCCAAGATTAAAGCAAGCAATGAAATGTCAGAGGACCAAAGTCAGAAGTTTAAATGATTTCATAATGGAAGATGTAAACACATAATTTTAAGCTTCCAACAGGAATTTCAATAGATCCATTAAAGAAATGGAATTTAAACTACTAGATGAAGGTACTGGTGACAACAAATTGTTTTCTGAGGAGCTGAAGAAAAATAGCAATCTATAACCTTGAAAGCTGTACTGAGATCAAATAGAATAAGGGAGAGGAGTTATTAAATACCTTGAGAAGGGTGCTCTCTGCAATGTAAAGGGTGTCCAGCTAGTTTGAGAGCAGTCAAGATTGTTGTGCTGGAAGTATTACTCAGAAAAGTGAGAGAAGATCCACTTTCTCCATATCCTTTTTCAGGAGCATATTGTGAACTGTGGTAAATTGATGAGCAGTTACTTGCACAAGTATTTTGATTTACTTCAGTGGGACTACTCACAAATGTGAGTAAGAGCTTTGCAATCTAACCCAACCTTAAGGAAAGCGAAATAGGTAAGTAGGAAACTGTGAAGTGTAGGTTTTCTATGGGGTGATGATAATGACAGTTTTGAGCATGCCATACAGAGATCCCTTGGAGATGTTGATAATACTCAGACTTTTTAGTCTTCAGAATTGATTACAAGTGTTTATTAATGATAATGGAGTGATATTAGAGACAAGAGTAGGAAGGTAGGAGACAAAATAAGACTGGAGGAGAGTCTGGTGAAGAAGTGTTTTGTTCACAGTTGGAATGAAGGAATGAAGTGCTTGGAAGTTTGTGTTCAGATGAATCCTAGAACAGTGGACTGATAAATTTAATCCAAGTATGTATCATCTTATGATGAGTGTTTTCCCCCCCTAGATATCAATGAATGCATGATATTTGGCACCTGTTCACATCAATGTACTAATATTAAAGGATCATACAAATGTATATGTGAGAGAAATTATAAGGAAAAGAATAACAGCTGCATAGCAAAAGGTAAGGCTACAAAAATTATACCTAATTAATAATAATTAGTTAATTACTTACATAGTTATTTACATATTTAATGGATACTACTGTATTTTGACTTTATAATTCATGTTAAGAAAAATGAGTAGAATATTTCAAACAATGTAGATTTACTTGTGATCATCAAGAAAGCAGTCTTTCCAAGTATACATAAGCAAACTATCCCTTTGCCTGCATGTATTTTACATTTCTACCAACTACAATTTCTCCTGTTTAAATATGTCTTCCAACAAGGATAAGACACATAATATTAATATTAAAACACAAATGACTGAAAAGTTAGATAAAGATGTTATTAAATAATGTAGGTGTTGTGTTGAAGTTTGAGAGGCCTGAGAGCAGAATCAGATTTTTTTCATGGACATATTTTCTAATGTTTGGAGCAAATGACTGGGTATTTGGAGGCTTTCCCACTGGTTTGCTGAGCGATCTTGGACAAATCACCTAGGGCCCCATTACCAAAGGTATTTAGGCACCTAATTCACATAGGCACTTTTGAAAATCCCACTAGGCACCCATCAGCGTCTTTATGTACGCAGGGACTTTTTGAAATCTGACCTTAATCTCTGTGCCTCAGTATGCCAAACTGGAAGCGGGACAATAATATTTACCTACTGTAGTATAATGCTTTGAAGTAATATATAAATGCAAAGTGAATACATATGCATATATTATTATTGTTGTTGGCAAAATGCTAGTGGATAATGGACTGTGTTAAGGAATGAGTGTTGTATGCTCCTCCACATTATACAACATTTAGGGGACCAATTTTCATTGACTTAAAAGGAAAACAAGCAATAATCCACTGCCTGAGTGAAATAATTTAAATTTCTATTCTCTATTGAAATGTCATTTTTCAATTGTTGGATATATGAAAGTATGTCCACAGTACTTCCATAGTAGTTCCTAACAATCCTACAATGGAGGTGAGGTTATAGTGTATTGTGGGTGGCAACTGTCAACACCATATGAACACTGAATGCCCCATTTTTCCTAACGGTGACCTTTCACAGAAGGATGCCTCTCTTGAGTCAATATTAATTTGCTCTGCACATCATAAGAACTCTATCAGGGTTCATAATCTGCATTTGCGATTGAGGAACCAATAAGATCAAGATAAAGGATCTTGAGCACACCATGCTGCTGCCGATGGGTAGCTACTTGTAATCAAGGGTGACATAGAAGAATTTAACATTAGGCTTATAATTTAATAAATACCTTTACCTCTTGAACCTTAGTCTTCATACAAGTTTTTGGTCACACTCATTACCCTGTCTGTCTATGCACCATTCTGGCGGATGGCACAGAATAGTGTGGTATAACTGCATGGCCACTTTTTCTGTTACTATTTCCTGTGAAATAGCTCCCATTATGACATTTTTTAGCAATAGTGGGGCAGCAAATGTCATTGAATATCTTATATCCATAAGGCATGAAATCTTGGATGGTAGTTACTGTAAGTCATTTATTGTGGACAAATATGATCTAAATTTTAAAATAAAGCAAAGACCATTAGTGTGCTCTTTATATATCCAATAATGAAATATTTTTTTCCTCAAACTTCATTTATAGATTTCAGAGAATACTATTATATAGATAATATTAATGGTACCCAGGCATTTCAGATAGGTAATAACTGGGGTATTTCAGAGACCACTATGATTAAATGCTGAATTTAATGGTGAACATGGTTCATGACACCACTCCGTTTGTGTTCCTGTTGAAGTCAGTTTCAAAACTCTGTTAACTTCAATGGAAACAGGACCATTGCCCTTTCTTAATTTCTAGAGCAAGTTCAAGTAATGCATATGAAATCTTGGCATGTAAAAATTGCCTTTAATGTATGTATGTTTATTTAAAAAAAATTTAAAGTACATAATTAATATGAAAATGGGATATATGTAGTAGTGAGTATTAAAATTATATTGCTATGTTTGCACAATCTCCCCTACCATTCATATGTTGCTTGTGTTTTTAATCAATAAACTCCTTGAGGCAAGGACTGTGTATGGACATCATCTAGCACACTGCAGGCACTACCAGAGTATTACTACTTCTAATAGTGTGATAGTGTTTATAAGGGTGGGCAAATGCAAACCAAGTTCCCTTGTTAACATTAAGAAATTATACCAAATAAACCTAAAAAAAATCGATAGAAATGAAAAATATTGATTTTTACTAGGTGTTAGTTGAAATTCACTTTATTTTTGTATTTCATTATAATAATCCCCAGGCTCTGAAGATCAAGTTCTCTACATTGCTAATGACACTGATATCCTGGGTTTTATATATCCATTCAACTACAGTGATGTTCATCAACAAATTTCACATGTTGAACATAATTCAAGGATAACTGGGATGGATGTATATTATCAAGGTGATATGATTATTTGGAGTACTCAGTTTAATCCAGGAGGTATTTTCTACAAAAAGCTCCATGGCAGAGAAAGAAGACAAAGTAATAGTGGTTTGATCGTAAGTAAACCAATCTCAAAATTGCAAGATGCCAATCTTTGCTTATTTACTTATTTCTCCTTTTCAATGATATATATCCATTTTGTCTAGGTTGGAGAAAATATTAAATTTATACAGATGCATATGCTATATGAAATAACAAGTTTTACTTGATCAGGACTTTATTCAAATTACATGTGCTTCAAAATAAATAACTAGTACCTTCCTTACTTATAAACTCTATGGGACAGTAATATTCTGGAGAGGGCTTTAAAGGGTTTTCTGGCTATAATTCTGCCATGAAAATGAAGGTTGTTATGCTTTACTTGCCTGTGATTGAGATCGCCCCCTCTCTGGGTACCACTTAGTCAGACAGATGATTTACCTTGTAGATGATAAAAGTACTTGTAGAGCAAAATTCAAGTAAAGTGCATTTAATATTAGCTTGCTCCCTTAATTATAGTTATGAAACTTAATTTCAGTTAAACAGGAAAACAAACCAATTGCTTCTCTCTTCCTACATACCTTGTCTCTGCAAACACATATATTCCCCGGTACAAGCTTATTACAGGCTAATGGAGATAATTTTTGTTAAACTATTGGCAGCACATCATTGATACAGAAAGTCTGAGATCTGATGTGGATGTAACTTAATATGTGTGTGTGAGAGAGAGAGAGAGCTTTCAGTGGAAGGAAAGAAGGGAGACCTTGACATAATAAGAATTATTGAAAAAATATAAAATGACAAAAAATGGAGTAAGGCTATAAATTGGTATACTTCCAAAAATTCTGAAGGAATTTAAGAGTTGCTAACAATAATAAGCAACCTCTCATTAAAATCAGTTACTATATCTGAGAACATGTACCCACAGTAAGCCAGATCTTCAGCTGCTGTCAATCATCGTAGCTCAACCTTTAATAAAGACCTTAAGGGGCAATCCAGGAACACTGACTGAAACAATAGTTAAAAATGAGGGAGAAACCACCGCTGCTTTGTGAAGTAAAACTGTAGAACTCTAATCTCTTAGAATTCTTTGATCATTTAAACAAAGTTGTAGATAAAGGAGAACCAGGTGACATAATTTATTTAGACTTTCAAAAAGCCTTTGACAAAGCCCCACACAACAGGTTGTTAAGGAAACTAAGTAATATGAGAGGTAAAGTTCTGTCATGGATTATAAACTGGCTAAGAGACAGAAAATAAACAGTCAGACTAAATGGTCAATTTCCTTGTGCATCTTTAAGTGGCTCACCATTTAAACTTGCTAATAGGACCTTGTGGAGTTGATAAAGGATTTTACTATCACCTCTTTTAGAGCCACTCCAGATTCTTTGATCTATGTATTTCCTCTTGTCTCTTCTCAGGCTGTTTTTCACTGCTTTGTCCTTTTTTAATACAGATCTTTTTTTACTGGGTCTTTTTCTGGAGGTATTTTTGAGTAGCTAATATTTGCTTTGGTTTGTTTCCTTCTTTCACACGATTCCATATATCCTCAGTTATCCAGAATTTAGGTTTGCTTATTTGGAAACCAATTACAGTTGTTTCGGCATCTATGATACTGTCATGGAAATAGGATATGTCAATGTTATCTTGTAGCACCTGAAAACTGTTGTTCAGTTCAGTTTGAAATTGCTGCTGTAATGTCTTGTCTATTCGCCATTGGCTGTCAAATTTCTTGGTGGTTTTAGGGGTTTTGTTTTTGTTAAGTTTGATCTTCAATCTTGCCACACACAAATGTGGTACTTCTGATGTCAGCTTCCACTTATGCTATGACATTGTGGAGAGTTGATCTAAATTTCCTTCAGTACATATATGGTCACTCTGGTTCCTGATAATCCCTCTAGGAAATTCCACATTACTATTTGGATTTTTTTGTGGGGGAATAATTTTCCACCAATTACAAGCCCCAAGACCAGCACAGTTCTAGCAGTCTTTAACTGCTCTGATTTTGGGAACCAGGGCTGTGCTTATTCATTACTTTTCACTTTTGTTGTCATAGAATTTAAGGCCAGAAGTGTCCACCAGATCATCTAGTTTGAAATGCTATATATCACAGGCCAATAGTACATTTCAGCCACCCCCACACTAACCCAACAACCAGAATTAAACCAGAGTATTACCGTCCCCTGGAAACTAAACTATTCTGTGCACAGGCAGAGAACAGGAGGGACCGAGGTATTATCCCCAACCTTGGCATTGAAGTCCCCCCTTACTAAGCAGATGTAATGCTTGGGAATATTGTCAGTCAGAGGTTGTAGACAATAGAAAAACTGATCTTTGATCTCATTATTGTCTCTGTCATTTTCATGTATGGTATTTGAAACTTATCTTGGAGCAATTGTCTGTTAATTAACTTCTAGTGTATAAACTGTTTTTCTATTTGGAAGTCTTAATTAATGATACTTCCTCTGAGTGGTAATCGTTTTATTTCTCTGAATATATTCTGACGTTTTCACTTTTGAATCACTTTTTATCAGCTCCTGGCCATCGATATTCACTTAGTCCAAGGATTTCATGATTCTGTTCATTCAGTTCTTTCAGCATCTGCACCGCTTTTATTGTTGCAGCCATTGTTCTAATGTCCCATACATTCATAGTTTGTTTTTACCATTAATAAAGAATTTCTCAGAGTCATGGCTTTCCCTCAAACCCATTGTTTCTGCTGAGACAGAACCCATTGCTTTGGCCTGCTGCTTGCCAGAATGGCTGCCTTGTTGCCTTTCTATAGCTTTGCTTTCCTGTGAGGATAGGTTGTTGGCTTTAACACTCAATCTCCAACCTGGAGGACCAGTGGAATACTTTTCCTGTTGTCCTGGACCTTTGACCTATCCAGCTTGGGTAACGTAACTAGGAGTTAAAATTCCCACTGGCATAGCTCTTGGGGTTAATGGAGCACACAAGCCTTTGCACCACATCAAGATGCAGGCCCCACAGAAGGGAGGAATGGTTTGAAAAAGACAAATTTGACGCCACTCTTTAATGAAGAATAAGGGGACAATCAGTGCAATGGAGACAACACATTTAAAATGGATAGCAACCAATTGTCTGATCTGGTATGATTGTTCCTATATCACAAGTATTAAGGACTCTGTTATATTGGAATCCTGTTGCAAGACTTAGTGGATCCTTCTTATAACTTCCCTTCTAAAAAGAAGGAAGGATACTATCACATCACCATGGGATATGATTTTCATGTATTTAAAAATGAAAAGAGAACATATTCAGTATTTCATATTTATTCCTTTCTTAATGTATATCGTTATATTGCTAACTGCCTAACTGGTGTTCTCAGGCAAACAAAAAAAAAGCTTAATATTTGTAAACAGACCTAAATGTCACTTCATCCACCTCCGCAGAAATGCTGAGTTTTTTTCTTAATGTATTTTCAAGTAGTTTTTACTGGAAAGTAAAATGAATATTGATTGGACATTTTACAAAAAAAAAAAAAAAAAAAATTAGAAATGCATTAAGGACATTATCACCACTTCCGCTAAGGGTAATAATGTGACCTTTGTGCCTGTGTTTATGTAAGTGTTTCAAAATTAGGTAATTGATTACATATTCAATATTTTTATTTTATTCTGTTAATTAGTATTAATTCCTGATACTTGTGTTCACGTGATAGATATGGACTACCTGAACATGGACTCCGTAGTACCATATTCTCCTCTAGACTATAAAATCTCTTCTAGCTGTCATTTCTCGCTTACCAATCTGCAGACTCCTCTAAGTATCCTTCATCCAATTTCATTTCCCTGGCAAATGAATGTTTTTCTCTTCTTACCTTCTGAGAGGGGGAGCCAAGTTGAGTTTATCTCGGCTGTGCGTGAGGATAGTAAAGTGAAGGAGAGGTGGACGGATCCAGCTCTGCTATATGCTATGCCCCTCCTAAAAATTCAGGGAAGTTCCTCCACTGGCTTTCTAGAGGTCAGGGTCAAGCCACAATGGAAACTTGGGAGGCTAAGCTCAGTAGGTACGTTTCTGTGCAAAAGTGGCAGATATCTATGCCTAATTAATTCAGCTAAAAACAGCTCTTCAGTCTCTCAAAAAGGTTTTTATTTGGACAGTCTGGGGGAAGAAAAGGTGGGGAGGGGGTGATTGGTGAAAACTGGTAGGGTAGGAGCTCCATTCTGTGCAGGTAAGGGGACACAAGAAGAACAGTACAGCAGGGCCGCCCAGAGGATTCAGGGGGTCTGGGGTAAAGCGGGGGAGCTGCGGCCAGGGCCGGCTTTAGGCACCGCCGGGCCCGATTCGAAGGAGCTGCCGCCGAAGTCCCGCCGCTGTCTTCGGCGGCAGCTCAATCACTGCCACGGAGTCAGGACCCTCCGGCGAAATGCCGCCGAAGACAGCGGCAACGATTGAGCTGCCGCCGTCAACAGTACCGGGACTTCGGCGGCAGCTCAATCGGCTGCCGGTGCCTTCGGCGGCACTTCAGCAGAGGGACCTTCCTCCGCGGCAGCGATTGAGCTGCCGCTGAAGACAGTGCGGGGACATTGCGGGGCCCTCTTAGGGGCGCAGGGCCCGATTCCAGCCCTGGCTGCGGTGCTTGTACTCACCCGGCGGCGGTCTGGGTCTTCGGCGGCGGGGAGCCCTTCAGATGCTCTGCGTGTTCGGCAGCACTGAAGGACCCGCCGCCGAAAAGCCGCGGAAGACCCGGAATGACTGAAGGGCCCCCTGCCGCCAAAGACCCAGACCGCCGCTGGGCCAGGGTTTGCGGGGCCCCTGCGCAGCCCTGCAGTACAGAAGATCTGGCCCACTGACCCAGCATCTCTAAGACTCAGGCTTCACTTCACTGTGGATCCATGAAGGTATGGGACATAACACCTGCCTCCTCTAGACCTCTTCAAACTCCACAAGGTGAAACTTACATAGTTTTCTGAACATTCTGTCCTCTTCCTTTGGCTACTCCGCTTGGGGAGATTATATATTCTTATAATTCCACATACTTTTGATTCATTGAAGAATACTTCTGTCTTTCAGCCAATCCAAAGTTGTAAGCAATGATCCAAAATACTCTAGA